TTATTGCTCTATCAGCACTCAGCTAAGACAGCTTTATTTTTCGTATTAGTGGCGGCGATGAAGTCTTCGACGCAGAAGAAAAGGAAGTCCGATGTCAATGTGCTTCATTTTCTTGTATATTTTAAGGAATTATTGATATTACTGTTTGCATAATTTCAAGCAATTCCATCCCAGATTGACTCTTCATCAACGCTTCCAACGAAGAAAGAACGGCCATGGTACGCAGAAGAGGTAATGTTTTCGTTGTTGTGCACCTACAAAAAAAAAACTGGAAACTTTCGCTGAAAGTTAACCATAAGGGTCATTCGGAGATGTTGAAATCTTGATCACGGAGATGAATATCATTTTTGGCGCTGCTGCGTTTGATCCAAGTTCTTTTTGACCGCTTTATTGCGCCAACGCCAAGATTCAATGTCATATTCGCTATCAAACATCTTCCTCGTCAATTTCAATGCCAGAATAGTGAAATTTGTGAAATTTAGTGCTGCAAATATTCACGGTGCTAACTTAGTTGGGGGGGGGCACGCGGCGGCGCGGCAGTCTGCTCGCCTGGCATGTTCGGAAATCCGTGGGCCAGGGGAGTGTAGCCAGTCTAGGGGGGGGGGTGGGGGCAGTCACTTGACATGCGTGAAAAGCTGGAATGTTCGAGTTTACACTGTCTCGCTCGAGAGAGCCCAGGTGAGCAGACTGCCGCGCCGCCGCGTGGCCCCCCCCCCCCCAACTAAGTTAGCACCTCACAAACGGTGCCCTGGAGGGCAGCAAATAAAAACAAACATGTATTTCTAGAGTGCGAGTAACCCCTAAACGTAAAGCCTATTGTCACAAATGTAACTTCAAGTTTTTGGGCGTGTTATAAGCACGCAATGCCCTGCTTTCTGTTTCGCGGATATGGAATGCTCACATTAAGGCGTCTGGCGGTGGCAAGATCTCAGTGGAAAAAGAGAGACGAAAAAGCATCATCGGACTAGGGAAAGGTCTACTGAAGAAGATGCGTAGTTCATCTGCGCTCAAGGTATATCATAAGCTTTCAGCTTTTGGCGCAGAGCCTTGAACCATTTTTTTAGAAATTTGTTTTAGTCCTTTTCATTTTTCATTTCAACTTAAGGAGCGCAATAATCGTGACTTGACAATGACAATGGCGTCGGCGAGCACCAGCAGGATGCCTGTTTTTAGAGAGCCACCACTAAGTGTGTTGATGGACCCTATGCCAGAAGAAAGTTCGAATACGTACGCATCTTCCGGTAATTCTTGGTGTCTTTTCATCATGACAGACGTTTCATCCTGTCTATCTCTGAGTACCATATTCGATTGCATTAGTTCACAAATGAATTTTAGAGTGTTCTATCTGGTGAGAGTTGTGCTCTTTCCAAATCTATTCAACGCAATAAAGAACTCGTAAAGTTGGTGGCAAACACTTCAGCAACGAGTCAGAGTAACCAGAGTTTTGAAGAGGGGATATCAGTGAGTTCATTTGAGAGATTTCATTCTAATCCGAATTTTTGGTTTTAGGGGTTTCTATGGTTGAAGAATAGTATTTGATCATTCAATCAGCTGTTTTTCTCTTAGATCTATGTGCACTGTTGATCTTTATAATCATATGAGATTGGCTGCGGATAGGGTTGGGGATAACTTCTACTTTTGTGTTCTTTTTTTCTTTTTTTGCATACCTTGCTTCTCAATTTTTGCCTTTTAGCGAGCCGGCCTTTGGAACGCGCCAATATGTAGCTTAAGGCCGATGTCAGACTTTGCGAATCGCGCGATTCGCTAGCGTCTGCGGTCGCGTCGCGGCCAGTGAATCACTCAATTGGCTGGTACCGCAACGCGACCGCGGACGCTAGCGAATCGCGCGATTCGCAAAGTCTGACATCGGCCTTAGATTCATTTGATATGTTTGGTCTTTTACCAATGCCCTTACAAATTACCCTGACTCAATATTCGGTAATGAGACCATTGTGAAAGTGCTACTTTTAGTTCTCATCCGAATCATGCTCGTCAGAAGACGAAATGCCTTATTCGGTGAGCGCGGCTTCGCTGTGTACTCCCGGCTCGGGAGTTTGGAAGAGGAACATCTCATCGTGGAAGCGCACGAAGCATGCCACCGGAGTCTGATCTGATTCGTGGACTGTGTAATAGGTAATTTCTTCGGCGCTGTCTCAATGCAATGATCATTTGAGAGCAGTTCATTGAATAACGTTCATCTGTCAGTTGTAAATGTCTCCTGCTGCCCAGTCTTTCCGACTGAAACTGATTTAGTGCCATACGACGAACGTTTTCCTCGGTCTCAGATAGCCTTGCCAGTCCACAACGTTTTGATCGATCGCGATCTATGCGACTACGAGAAAAGCTACTGCTGAGTGCCAGCATGGCAGAACTGCCCGAAGAAGAGGTTAAAATTTTTCAACGTTTCAGCAGATCGTTTTTACTTAGTGTATCCAAATAGTCATGGTTAGGTTGCTCCTCTTGCTACGTGTGAGGAAGGTGTTGAGGAAAATAGAACTCCCGTCTGTGATGTTGAAGGCTCTGGCCGAAGAAGTGTGAGTCAAAATCGTTTTTTTTTTGAGTTGCACATGAGTACTTTCCGAAATTAATTTACGTTTGCAGAGTCTTATATGGCTCCGCTCCAAATCGAGGATATTTGGTTCGCGAAAGCGTGGTGATGCTACAACTACACCCCTTGGTACCACTGCGTTAGGTAAGTGTTCTTTCCATTGAAATGTGCAACTTTTCTCACTTGCATCCGTTAGACCATGCCAAATTTCCATCAAAAGTTTCAGACCAGCGTATTTTTTGCTTTTTTTGCTGTAACAATGTATTCATCATGTGTGTCACGCAGGAACGCCACTAACTGGCGAAGATAGCACACCATCGGGTACCAGAAGTTTGCGTAGATCGTCGGCTAGCTCTTCGAGTATTCAGAAGAAAGTTTCATCAGCACTGAGGAAAGGGCTGGGTTGTGAGTTGTTGTTATTACACTTTCCTGGTTTTGAATTCTTCTTTCTCTACATAAATTATGGTGCAATACCTTCCGCCATACCTCTTGCCTGGTTTTCATGAGTACCTTAAATTTCTTTTGCTTTTATTTTGAACCTAAGTGTATACAGCGCTAATTTACAGTAGTCCTGCTAGAAGGTTTCATAAATTTAAATATGTTTCAGTGCGGGGTTCGAACAACAATTTGGCAGCGGACATAATAGGAAGAACTCCAGGTGGCATAATCAAGCGGTCCTCCACAAACTCAAAGACAGACAGCGATCGTCCGCTACCTTCACAAGACGGGCGCTGCAGTGATGGTAAGTTTACGATGAGAAGAGCAATTTCCTCTTTTGAGCTAGGATTGTATTCTGGATCTTGAACAGGAATCAGTGTCGTAGAGCAAATCGCACCTTCGCAAGCTTTAAAGCAACAGTCCAGGCAGGGTTTCAACTACTTGGTCATTAGGCGGTCAAAACATGCCCCAGCCCAACTAAAGTTTATAGGAAATGTCTTTAATTTCAAAACCTACCTCTAAAATGCGCTGGAAGGGGTCGAAGTCCTCTTGGAGGGGGCGGATCACCCATAAAGAGGCGGATCGCCCAACATCGCTGTGCAGAGCGCTTGCTCGACTAGCGGTCGTTGCGGGACCGCCGCGCTGTATGAGGTCGATTCCATAAGAACGCAATTGAAGCGCTTCAAATTTCGATTGCTGGCAAATAGTTATGTATTTGCAAGCATGCATGGCTATTTGCCAGCAGTTGCAATTGGAGCGCATGTACTACGGGCAGGTTCGGACAACTCGTCCAACACACGTCTCCCTAAACGGGCGGGGGAGTCCCTGTCTAAGCCCCTGCCCGACGTTTTTTTCTACTTTTTCTTTCTCCATTGACCAACTTCTCACCTGCAACGTCATTATAGGTGGTCCTTACCCGCGAATTCGTTCCTGGATTGTTGCTTTAAGTGTTTTATGAAACCCATGTTCTTCTCAGCAATTTGAAGTGTTTGGGACAGTGACGTCCATGGGCCAAAATGTGCATTGAAAAAACTATAATCTATCCTTGGTCATAGTTCGCTACACTTTGCACAAGTAACCCTAATTTCCATTGATAAAAGAGGATTAGCGCAGTGTACAGTCGCTACGACCTTTCAAAAAGCGGCAAGTTTCGCAAGAAGTTTTCATAAAGCATCAGTGTCGCGTTTAATGGTCCTATCAGGCCTGCATCTTTCATTACATTTTAGCCTCCATATTAGTATGGGACAAATTTGTGTTTCTGGCAGAGAGCTGTTCCCACGTACATACTTTGGAAATCAAAACGCGGATCAAATATGCAAAGGGAAGCGAGTATTTGTGGCTCGAAGCGCCGCCTTCCAGCCCTCATGATTACTGCCTTTGCGGAGCGACGGCTGCCATCTTGGAAACAGTGACAGCTTCGCGTCAAAATGTCGCTGTGTAGGGTTTGAGTAGTGCGATGGTGTTTCGGCTAGTCCGTGATCATATGCTCTGAAAATTTAAACTTTTCCATTATACTGTGGTTGCTTTCAGTCTCAAGCGTGTTGCAGCAACAGGTTCGTTCTGATCAAAAGAAGAAGGAGGCAGGTACGGTAATTGCAATCGCACTGCTAGCTATACAGTGCGTTTCAAAAGTATGTGCACACCCTCAAAATTCACGTTTGAAAGGGAACCATGAGGTTTCGTGCTATGAAATCCTTCTCAATCGATTTCTCGTAGTCGATAACCTATCAATGGAAGCAAAGCAGATAATATCGCCTCACTTTCGGAAAAAAATTTTGGATGAAATTTTTTTCTTTGTTTCAAAAGTATGTGCACACTTGAAGAAGATCAGATTTTGGCGCCGAATTTTCCACCGATTTCAATCCGACTTTGCTGTTTTCATTTCGTCATCATGTCAATTCGCGCCATACTTCTTCCTGAAGATGAGCAAGCTCAGATCAAGGTTCTGCATGATAATGAACGTTCCAATCTAGAAATCGCACGATAACTTGGTCGTTCTCCTTAATGCATTCGAAGATTTATCTGGCACCCTGATAATTATACTCAGCACACACTCCGCTCCATCCACGATCCTTGACTGCTCAGAACAACAAAAGAGTAGCCCACATCCTGTCGGATTCTTCATTGACAGTCCGAGCTCAGATTTTTATTCCAGCCTCGAAAATGACCACTAAGCCCCTCATCCGCTCAAATGAATACACCACTCGACAGACGCTGAGAAAGGCTACTCACTTCAAGGCCCAGCACAAGTTAGCCACATTGGAGTCTGCTCGTACAGACATGGCAACATAGGATAGGACACCGGGCGAAGACACGGTTTTTCGAGAATTTCCTATTTTCAAAACAAGCAACTTTTTATGGACTTTCTCTCCTCAGGTAATCTTAACTCATGGAAAGAGTTCGATCTTGACGGGCCGGGTGGATTTTGCTACTACTGGAGAGGCTTGGCCGTGAGTCGCTCGTGCTCTCGAGAAGGAATTTCGGAAGAGGCCCGTTGATGGGTCTGCGGCGGTTTCGCAATCAGCGGAAATTCAGAAGTTGCCGTTCCATTATTGCGTATGAACTGTAAAGAATACCAAGCAGTGCTCCAATGTCACCTGTTGCCCTTCCTTAGCGAAGCGGAGCGAAAATTGCATTTTTAGCAACAGGACCACGTGTCTTTCGATGCTTCGCAATCTACCAAAGAATGGCCTTAACCAAATGGTGCTGAAGCGATAGATTGGCTTGTGTGTCCTCCTTACTGCAACCCTATAGGGAGCCCTTGATCAAGGCGTTAACTTTAGCAACCGGCAGTATAATACCGCGGATGAACTGAAGGCGGCGGTAGAGGCTATTTGGGCCGACAGCGACGAAACAGCTATGCCAAACGTGGTTCAGATTATGCCGGACAGGATGTTTGAGCTAATTAGAAACTCTGGAGGCCCCACTGATTTCTAATCTCAGCTATGTTTTTGTCTTTTGTTAAGTGTGCACATACTTTTGAAACAAAGAAAAAAATTTCATCCAAATTTTTTTTTCGAAAGTGAAGGCGATATTATCTGCTTTGCTTCCATTGATAGGTTATCGACTACGAGAAATCGATTGAGAAGGATTTCATAGCACGAAACCTCATGGTTCCCTTTCAAACGTGAATTTTGAGGGTGTGCACATACTTTTGAAACGCACTGTAGTCTTGATTATTATTCCTTGTTCGATGCTTTCGTTCCAGATGAAGCAAAATTGTTCTTGGAAAAGATTATTGTCTCCAAAGAGCCTGTGCGACAAGTACTATACCGAGATGGATATGATGCGATCGTTGTGGATGTATCTCCAACAGGGCTTCCAGTGTCCACCATTGCGGCAGAAGTACTGGCAGGAGATTATGGTGTAGAACTGCATAAAAGTGGGATGTTCAACCCATATAAGAATGGCATTTTGAAGACGTCAGAGGGTAAACCAGGTATGTGCTTTCATTCTCATCTTGCCTTCTTTCGATGTATAGCTTTTGGCAGATATAATTTATATTGTAAGCGAAAAAGAAGATACGGCTGACAAGCGTGTAAGAGTTGGAGTTGCAACAGGAATGCGGGAAGCTTTTGAGAGTAAACGCCTCAAAAAAGTGGTATGTTTTCCGGTCGTAGTCATGCTTTACAGAGGATTTTCTGAAACACTTTCCACGCTTGAATCTTGAATGAAGCTTTTTTTTAAGTTGCTCTACCCATTTTGCACGTCGGAAGAGGAGGTAGTAGCGGATTTCCTCATTCAGCAGTTCCTTTTGACTTCGTACAAAGCTCTGACGTGGAATCCAAACGCGAGTTCTGTATGTTTTTCATTTTCTTATCTTTGTCTTTTTCCGTCATATGCACTTGTTAAGCCCTGGCTTTTAGTTCGATGGTAGTGTGACGCTAGCTGGTGTTACGGAGAAGGACTGTGAACAGATGCAGCGTCTTTACGAAGAATTGCTTAACACGGAAATCAGACCGAAAATCGCGGTCTATGAAGCGCTGCAGGCGTCAGCATCAGATGTTTCACCGCCAGAAAAGGAGAGTGAGGTCTGAAGTGGAACAGCTGGAGTTGTACTGTGTTGAGTTCCTATGAGCGTTTGTTCTTTAACAAATCCAGATGATATTAGTTGATTGTATTCATGTAAGCTCCTCATATAATCTCTACGAAGCGATAACTTCTCAAAATATTCTATGAATTGATCATGTTATCACTTTGATATTCTCAAGCGCTAAACTATGTAGCGCCTTTCTATCAAATACACTGGAACATTTGTTGCCTTCAAATTATGATCTGATCACTTCTTTCATGGACATACTGCGTAATAACTTAAATTTCATAACTTCGTTTACTCATTAAAGTTTTCCTGTAATCTTGCAAACGTATTCCTTTAACTGTAGTCAGCCCATCCTTCATTATCTTAAGTATGAATTTCGTACCCTACCCTTTCAAAAGATCGGTTTTTAATGGAACTTCACATAGATCTGAACGCCCAGATTGTTGTTCAAGAAGGGAATTTAGGGCACAACGTACGCTGTGGGTCGAATCCTTGATATGTAGTCCGTTTGGCGGGTCGCCCACACACAGTGCATTTTCGGAACGGATGAACAATTCTAAAGAATTTATATAAATTCAGAGGTGAGTGCAGAATTTCTATCAGTTCGGAGGTGCATATGTTGTTGAACGAAGCCCTTTTCTGATAAAGGTAGAGCTATTCAATGGGCGAAAGTTACGGGGAATGAGGCCTCAACACTTGGCTATCACATTGATCAGACAGACCTTTTGAATTTTTTTTTCAAAATCATCAATACCAATTTAATTATTTCGTCACTGGTAATGGAAGTGCTGTTGTTAGTGTTTCGATTTTAACACGTTGACGACATCGCGCGTTTTGTGTTTTTGCACCGCGTGGGACCAGAGCGATTTTGCGAGCGCCGCCGCCGCACACCATGGATTTTGAGCTGTAAATACGCAATACTTAGATGCGATGAAGTGTTTTCAATGATGTTCGATCTGTCTAACTTATCGGGAGTTACAGTAATGGAAGTTCGACCGAAATGACGTGTTAAGGCCATGAAAAGGCAAATTTTACTTACTTTCCCTTTAGTGGTTCCAAAATTAATTTGGACGTGGTTGTTTCAGTAAAAACACATATCTTCCCATACGAATAGGTTTGTATTCACTTCTATTATTCCTTTTTTCAACATGTTTACGTTAATGAAAAAAACGAGGAATGAACTGAACAGACATATCCGTAAGGTCTGGAAAACCTCTGCCAAACTAAAGAATATTTGGCCTTTCTGTGAGCCATGTGGTTTTTAAGTATGCTAATGTATGGCCTATAGAATGAGTACAAAGACCTTAGGAATAAGTCGCACAAGCGCAAGAAAAAGGGATGACTTGGGTGGGACGCGTTACCGCGTCACAATGTCCCACGAGGTGCGCAAAGTGGGACGCGTTACCGCGTCACGCTGTCGTCAACGTGTTAAAGACGGACATCTTTGAAACATGAAGGATTGTAAATAACCGGTCTTTTCCACGCGAAGATCTGACGCGCATGCGCGACACGCTGTCATTAGTGTGTTCAAATGGACGAGGTTGCAGTCTTTTGTGGCACAACGATTTGTGCAGTTTGTGTCTGCGTATCGCTTGCCGCAATACTTTCTCGTCCGTGCTATATTGATGTGATGAATTTTATACTATACAGATATGGTATGAGTGAAGGGCATCAATCGGTGCCTGCTCGGTTGCGCCACGCATTTCAGCTCCATTCGGGATTGCAGTCGCAATCTAAATGCGGTTTGGCTGACAGGAGGAATCGCAGGGCTCAGCCGATGAGTGTGTCAGTGCTTTGTCCTCCCAGAGAAGTGTGATACCAAGTAGCCGAACCTGGAGGGCTGGGAAACATAGTTGGCCTGGACGGTGTGCGGTCCGGGATTTGGTCCTCGGACCGTGCTCGATTGATTGACGGCTCCACATGACACTTCCACCTGCATTCTGGATACCGTCGCTTACCTTCGTTAGATAAATAATAAAAAATTATCCGTATAATGCAGATGGCTATGTAAACTAATAACTTCAAAGCGGTGAACAAACACTGAGAGATCCTGCGGAGCCTCGATAGATCGCCAACAGTTTTCAAGCATTGCCGGTGCAAAAACGGTGACATGACGTTCTCAGAAACGTTCAAAAAATCGTGATTTAGATAATATCTGAGCGAAGAATTTTTCCCATGTCTGCATTTTTACCGTCGCTTACCTTCGCATTCACTGTTTCCGAACATTATCTGATTTTTTAACTCCATGTAGCGATCAGAAAACAGGGAGTGACTGTTCTCTACCTTAACTCGGATGCTAAGTTAGCTCGGATAAGGGCAGTTCTCCAAAATCGTGTTTTATTTGGAACGTTATGACAGAAAGGAAGGGAAGCTTGTTTCAGGGTCAACCGTTACGTTGGACCGACATTGGACCGACGTTGGACCGACGTTGACCGCTCTCCGCGCCGGCATTCGCACTCGCCTTGCGCGAGCCGTCTGTGTCTCCGTGCGTACGTTCACTCTCGGCATTACTCTCACACGCTAGAGAGCCATGCGTTGGACTTTGTCCAACGGACGGTTGACCCTGCTTTTCAATGGAACGAAGCGCGGAAAAATAAATTCTAATGAATTTCTCTGCTCCTGGAGATGAAGCGCTGCGAAATTCTTCTATACAAATGCAAAGGTGTGTCTGTAAATTGAACTGGAGGGTTAAGATCTTCAGGCGCTATCACCATATACGGGGCACTGTGATGGCAGTGCATTTGAAACCGCTTGAAACATGCTTTTTTGTTAAAAACGGGACTAAGCCTCAGGCGCCTCCTCGAAATAAATATCGGCGCTATCGCCAGACCTGTATCTTGCGATAGCGCCGATGTTTATTTTCGAAACAGCCAGAAATCACGTCTGCCGTTCTCCACAACTTCCTCCACTCTTCTTTTCAACACTCTTCCCTCTCTGTCGGTAGCATTACAAGATTTGTTGTACCATTGAACTATATGAAAAATGTCGTCGTATGTACCCTCCGCCATCTTCTTTTCGAAGTTCGTGGTAGATTATTCTCTAGAACTCCTTGTACATTGGTATATTTTGCGCATATTCACTTACAGAGGTTGCTTTATCATAGAACGCCAATGCCAGGAGCATTTTTCACGAAACTGCCTGACACCCGCGCGGGCGCCGAGGCTAGAAACGCCTGTTTTCAGCAGATTATCTGAAGACCTGCAAGGGGGTGATTTGACCCGAAGGCGATACACGCATGTCGCAAAGTGCATAGAAATCTCCGCGCGAAAGCCTGCTACAAGAAACAGAACCGGCCTAAGGCCGATGTCAGACTTTGCGAATCGCGCGATTCGCTAGCGTCCGCGGTCGCGTTGCGGTACCAGCCAATTGAGTGATTCACTGGCCGCGACGCGACCGCAGACGCTAGCGAATCGCGCGATTCGCAAAGTCTGACATCGGCCTAAAGCTGGTGTCTGCGGTGGCTCCGCCCTCGCCAGCGCTCAATAGACATGGTGATCCTGTTCTACCCCTTGATCCGAGGTCATAGCCAGTTCGAACAACGAAGACAACGAAGACAAAATTCAAGAAAAATCTGTCGCAATCTTTGATTAGTGACCGCAGCTCTGACAAGAACTCTAGGTAACAAGCTCTATTTTTTCATGCTGTCTCAATTTTCTCCCCATCCCTGTGCTCGTCTGACTAAACACAAGGCCGATGTCAGACTTTGCGAATCGCGCGATTCGCTAGCGTCCGCGGTCGCGTCGCGGCCAGCGAATCACTCAATTGGCTAGTACCGCAACGCGACCGCGGACGCTAGCGAATTGCTATTAGCGAATCGCTCGATTCGCAAAGTCTGACATTGGCTCAAAGTGCTTGAGCAACAACCCTCCAGGCCGCATAAAATTAACGAATTTGAGCAAATGTGAGCAAGTGGACCAGACCCTTGCGCACACACTATGTGAATTACTAAGTGGTGGGTACTTCAAGTAGCCAGTGGAGATGGGGTAGGCAAGCTCAGAAAACTCGTCCGGACATACCCCTTTTTCATCTCAGGGGAGGAGAGGGGGTGTCTTGTTTAGAGGTCCATCGGAAGGCTCACTCCAAGGATGCTTCCGTATTTGGCGTGTAGCGCCCTGTTATCATTCTATGAGTTTTCGGAGCGGTAGTTGTACTTCACTAACAACGCTCTCGTTCGAATTGCATCAGTTTGGTCACAATTGAGTAGCTGTCCGAAATTTCTCTTCCAGGCTGATAATCATGTTTTGATTCAGCAAGAATCAAACCCATGACCCCTAAAGTCAGGAAGGAGACAGGCTACATATAAGACGGTTACCCGACTATGACTACTTCTCTGTAATACATCATTGTGTAAAGTAAGTAAACAAGAGAGCTAAGAGCCGTTAGGCCAAGGTTTCGTTGATATCAGTTCGATGACCGACGATGTTTTCGCGTAGACCTATATAATTAACCTCGCGTAGTGATCGCCACAGTTCACTGACCCAGTTCAGGCGCTTGAAGCCCATTTGTCTATGTGCTAGTTTTCGATCCCGACATATGATATCATCTCCCTAACGCCCATCTCAGCGTCCAGGCATGCCCCGTCAAGTTGTCACTCCATGGATGCTCTGCCTTGTCTTCGTACCTCAATGGGATGTTTACCAGGCCCGCGTTACTGGTTTTTGTCTAATTTTTTAATGCAATAGAACACTCGATTGTTTGGTGAAGAATCACTGTAATCAACAGTTAGCGTTGTCCATTCCCTTTTTGGAATACTATTTGGCCAGCAAAATAGATTTTGCTACTTTCTTTTGTCTTCCAGGTTTATTTTTGCTCCAAGTCTGGATTCCTAAATCTATTAAACCACAGTTGACCGCTGGCCAATTGCGGGTAGCTTGAAGCGAAATGTTTGGATTCGGTTGAATTTGTCCGTATCGGGCTTTTTTGGTGCTTCTTTCAAACCATAAATATCGTAACGGCCAAGAAGCCGTGACCGGATCTTGTTGGATCCAACGAAGACAAGCCCTATCCTTTTGTCGGATAAGTTGTAAACTACTAGCCTGTTGGCTTGAAAATACTGCATTCAACGTCGTCTACTAATCTGCAATATTGCATAGGCAAAATTCTCTTGGTTCTACAATTCTGAATGGAAGCCATATGCCCAGCGCAACTAAGGCTCATACACTGCCCGTTTTGCCTTTAACATTTACTTGATCTCTTCCCAGCCCTTGTCGAAAAGTCTGAAGTAAGCAAACCAGCCCTTTTGGCGTTTTGCTGGGGCCGTATGCTGAATGTTGGGGAGGGGATGGGTCCCCGACGGTCGACGGACTACTTCAACTCGGTCCTTAAAACCGCCACAATTTGGATGCTTACCTCAGAACTAAGCCTTAAAGAGAGGACGGACCGTCCCTCTCCAAGGCTTAGTCCTGGGGTGAGCAAACCAGCCCTTCTGGCGGAGCTGCTGGACCAGCTGCACCACTTGCGTCAGTACTCTCCTATCGTACCAACCGAGTTGAAGTCCGTCGACCGTTGGGGACCCCATCCCCTCCCCAACATTCAGCATACGGTCCCAGCCGAAACGCCAAAAGGGCTGGTTTGCTTAACCTTGGAACTTCTTGGTACCCCATTGAAAGACCATTAAATTGCGCTTCACTGCTTGAGAAAACCACCAATCTTTCTTCGAAATTTCTGATTCTACTGTAATTGAATGTAATTTTGCGTTAAATTCTCTTTTTTTTCTCAAGCTGTGCGGCTGACATGCGTTTTTGGTTCGTCCCGTCCATAAAAGTGCTTCTGCAATGAAGAAGTCAGGAGAATTGCGCACGGAAGCGTGTTGTATCCACGTTTTTCATTCAGAAAGTGTTTGATCACACTCTTGAACTTCCAAGCAAACAGTCCTATGCAATGGGTGTATCAGTTTCCGGAGAAACGAAGCTGTCTCAAGCTACTATTTGCTGGACAGCTATGGACCAGCGTGGGGCGGAAAGCATAGGCGTGGACGAATCTTGTTCAGAATGTTTCGCCAGCTTTGGACAGCCAGCGAACTTAACTCTCGAGCCTCATAATTTGTTTTCCATTCGCCAAATCTCATTCAAGAGCCGCTAACAATTCCCTGAATGGAAGCACAATGTGTGGCGCAAACTGGTACCAAACGGTAGCGGTCAACGCTTGTTGCTTCCCCACTTTTATCCTTTGTTTGTTTTTTATTTTTTCGCGGATTGTCTTTCCTCTGGCCCGTCTGCTTAGCCCGATGTACTCCCAAGACAGTTTTTCCCATCTACTTTAGCACTTATCACATTTCCAACTTCAGAGTAGCTTATTGGTATTTAAATTTGTGAAACAGATTTCATTGGATATAGTGTCTTCAATACTGAATTTCTTCTGAATGGATCCAGCATATGTAATTAGAAATCGTCAAGGGGTTTCGGCGGGCGGGGGGGGGCCCACGGGATGGAATATTTGTCGTTTCTGCAGCAATCGCGTTCAATGACCCCAATTTTTCCCATTATTTTTTCGCCTTTTATTTCCGCTCTTAAACCAGGGAACGTCCACCGCGCATGGCCCTGAAATGCACTTTCACATGTTCCCCCCGTGGGAACGGGTTCACTACCTTCGACGATTTATTTCAGTTTCTGCTCCCCTCCGTTAATGTGAAGACGATTAGGTGTGGCCTTGTGGTGAAAGAAAGAAAGGCGCGTGATGGTGTGAGTCGTGTCTCAAGTCCATTAATTGCTGTTCGACTATGAACGGTTTTCGCTCATGGTTGTATTTATTGATGTGTGATGATGACGGGTTTCAAGATCGAAGAGGTTTGTGAGATAGGTTCCAGCCGATGAGCACATCCAGTTATAACACGTAGGTGTTGGGTGCATGTCGTGCCGACAATGAAAAGTCTATGGGGAAGGGCCTAAGCCAGTGACGCAGACTGTAAGGAAACTGTAGTCGTAAGGGTCGGTGCAGAACGGGAGAGCTGAACGGATTGGCTTATTACGCTCCAACACCGCCTTTAATACTTAAAGGAATCTTGCGCGGAAAATTCTTGCACTCTTTCCTAACATGAATATGTCAGTTGTGATCACTGGAAATAGCACACAAAGTTTCACGCATGAAGATTCGGTTTCTGAAGAGAAACAAACGTACAAAAACTACACGTTATGGACCATCGAAGGACCAGGAGGCAGAGCCAGGCGAGGCATGGAAAGAAGACGGCGTTTGGCCGGCTACGTACCAGGCGACGCAATGAGAGAATCGGGTTAAAGCGCGCGATTTCGGAGAGTGGAGACAAATCGATCGATGGAATAGGATGGAGTAGAAGTGTAAGATGTGAATGCAACGAAGCAGAAGGCCAGAAAGAGCTTCTAGTGAATGCACTCCAAGAACCAAGTTTGAGCATCCCCGTCGCCAGCATTCGTGAAAGACGTCCGTGGGCAATTCGAACGCGTAGCAGCCTTTTCGAGTTTTCGAATTTCTAATCAAAACGAAAGCAATACTTCAGTTCTTTTCACTATTATCGTGGATAATGAGTCTCAAGCCAGTGATTTATGGCTGAAATAGAATCATGATTTTTCCGCGCAAGATTCCTTTAACAGGCTTTCAGAATAATATTAAATTTCAAAATTTCGTTTAAAATATCGTAATTCGGAAAATAATGAAAAAGGATCAATTTGATTCAAATTCTTTTTGTATAGAACATAATTATCTCATTACAGTACGGAACAGTAAGAAAACACATGAATTAAGCGCATCTTTTTTCTGAACAGTGCTGCAAAGAAGCTATACACTGGTACGCCGAATAGAAAGAACAGACAGAGAGTGTAGGGACGGGCGAGACGCAGACATCTCACACTGCGTAGGCGCATTGCGTAATGGATAGTGCTGCGGCGCGATTCCAACCGCAAGTAACGAGTCCTTATCGCGTACTCTCATCCCGCCCGCGTTCTAAGTTCTGTGAGAACAACTTACTTACGGGCTCTCATCGTCCAGCTCAGTCGTCCATTGAAGTCCTGCCCTATGTTTAGCTGGAACAAAATAGGCCAGGTTCCTTCAAATTTAGTTGTGAAGAACATCCCAAAATGGAGCCTCGATGTTGATTTTTCGTCCGGCTTTTTCATTTAATTATCGATCATGCTTGCGCAGAGGCCTTTAAGAATGCTGTGTGAGCACACATCCGACCAATAACCTGCTGTAACAGTTCTGAGAACAAGTCATTTGAGTAGTTATCTTCATCGACCTTCATCGAAAGTGCTGAAGATTGACAGTGCAGGGTGCAATCAAGGTCATCTCAAAGTTAGGCAACAGAGCCACCTTCTATTGCCCAACAGAGAAATTTGCCCCTTCACCTTACCCATTGCGATGTACTTGTGACTACCCACTTGACATTTCGGGAGCTGGTTTTTCAGCCGGCCTTCTTTCTTCAAGTTTCGTTGGCGCTTGAGGCATTCACAAAGACCTTTCTCATTGATTTTTGCTGTGTCGTTATATATCAATAAGTACCTATTTATATTTCTCTGAAAAAAGGTCCCTCAATTCGTTATACTTGTAGGTAGAAGCTCAAAGAACACAAGCTCAGGATGATTCCAGCGATTCTCCTCTCTGTGATGGCGGCAGCGTTTGCCGTTCCGTTACAACGTAAGTCTGTTATTCTCAATTTTTGTCACCTATCATTCTTGCTATTTTTGGCATTTTAGAAGTTCACATATAAAATAATTCAGTAGGGATGTAATAAAAAATAAGTAAACGTTGGGTGAATTTTATAAACTAAACCAAAACAAAATAAGTTCAGGTTTTCCCCGATGCTATATATCAAGGCGATCCATGTGACGCAGATAATGGCGTGAGGTCAGTGGATCATTTAATTTTTTATTGAATAGCGGGCTCCAATGTGACTTGGACTTAAAGGCAAGAATCAGGATTAAATTGATGAGGTAATTCCACTCAAATGTGAAAGTAGGGGTGGGAGGTGGACCGCCAGTGGAGAAAAAAGGAAAAAAATCGTGAAATACACAGGAAATACGAGCATTTTGCTCTACGCTGTGGAGAAGTTCAAAAGGCCGGCAGGGAGATGAGAGATAATGTGAGCGCGGAGAGTGGTAGAGAAGTCCGAGAAGAGAGAGCATAGCAGATCAACGCAGCGACGCAGACAAGATATCGAACGGTGGGCGGACCATGTTAAGTTTGGTGGGGGGGGAGGTTAAAGGTGGCCTGAGCCTGAGCTTTGGGCCTAAGGCAGGGTTCCAGATAAAAGGAATGATCGAAGAAGGGTGAACTTATAGGGAGAGCAGGCGAACCCTCTAAGGTGAGAACCTAACATCGAAAGATATGCCCTCGGCGATCTACATCGGCCCCTTCGCCGCTTGCCAGTTGTCCGGAACTGCCAGCGACTATTTAGTCACTCACTACAGGTCTCATTACACGGCCAGTTTCATTAGATAGCAGCAGAGAGTCGTCAGCTGTTGCAAGACGGGCCACAACGATTGAGAGCGCATCAGCTGGCCGAAATAAACGGGCAAGGGATAAAAGGTTCCAAGTTCTCGGGTTTCTGGGCCGTTTCACATGGTTTTCTTCTTCATCCGCTGCTTCAGCTGACCACGCTCTTACTTATTTCCTACTGAGCCTGCCTTTTCCATGCGTAAAATATCGCAGCTTTACGAAAACCAGGGAACAGTGTGATAGACAGTTTAGGGCGAGTTAGGTCCACAAAATGCACCATAATTTATTTATGAACCGCACGAATATCGAATTTAGGAAAATGATCTGAACAAAAATGGTGGGATCTCATTCCGGGAATTCACTCCATTCGTGCTGAAACTCATGAACGTCAACCGAGCAGGTCAGTGATTGGTTCATTTATAATTATACCATCTTTATGTCCTTCTATAAATTAAGCATGCTCCGATTGTAAAATTTTCCTATAAATAAAACGACCGATAAGGACGGCTGACTCATGCACTACTTACAGTAAAACTATTGTGAGGGTTAGGATGCGCCATGCAATTGAGGTCTATTGCAATTTCGAAATATTTGGGCGATATTTAAACTATTTAACAATGGAAATCTTCAATAGCGCCAACTCCTGATTAATTTTCCACGTCTCATGCATACACCAAGCACCAAGCGAACCTAAGGTCAACTTATTGATGTTTTTTTTTCATGTGTCGTACGATGATGTTTGTGTGGACCTTCAATGCTTCAGCTTTTCGACTGAATTGCGTCTTAAGAAGGCGTGAACCCTTCAGGTCAGATTCGGCTATAGCCTCAACCGAGCCCTTGTCACTGCGGTCCGATATCGTGTCGGAACCCGCGGACAAACCCCATTAGCGTAGAAAAACTTACTGTTGGTCATGGTTTCGTAGCCAGGAGTAGTCCTTTGTTAGTTAGTTTGGTATAATGGTCACTGGTGCTTGTCTTCTTACAATAAGAATGGTCAGTAGACGGGCATAACGCTCTGTCATTGTATAGCTAACAGTGTGGATCATGAAACATGTTCAGGGCTCTGGAGATGACGATTCACTTGAAATGTAAGGCCATTAGAATAAAAGTTCCACCAAACAACCTCGTACGGTCGAAAACATCGACACTTTCAACAACATAACAGACGAATCAATAAATAAATAAATAAATAAGATAAACATGCCGAGGTGCAAGAAAGAAACAACCTGGAGAATTTACTTATGTGTTTGTTCGCGTACTAGATGTTAAGGGTGGTTTTCAACAGAGGTCGTTTGTCGTCCGTTTTGCACGCTGCCCCTGAACAGGAGCCTAAAGCAATAAGGAAAAAAAATTGCCTTCCTCTGCGAAATCTCAAGTACAACTGGCGTACCGAAGGAGGTTCGTCCGTGGCAAGATAGGCAGAGACGCAAGGACGGTTCCGCGAGCGAGTCTGCAAGCGTGTACTCGCACTAATTTCGGCGTCAAGCTCAAAAAGTATCCTATACGTAGCGTCTCACAGCACAGTGCGCGCCACATGCGACTCGTCCACTTTATCGTCTGCGTCAGCTGCTCTCGCTGCCAGCGACGATCTGGGCTTATACCCTTAACCTGGCTGTAGCCTAGAGTGATTAACATCCAGGGGTGGCTGGTCGTTGTCTGTTTCGAAGATGGCTAATTACATCAGTTCTTTCACCCTCTACATCCATCTCTACCCACGACGCCATTTCCCGTCTCTTGCAGTCGATTTGCTGGAAATGCTGCTTCTTCGCGCTTGTCTTTGTACTGTACTGTTTTCTGGGCATTAGTAGGAATATTATAAGGTTTAAATAAATAACTCAACCCATAATAAACAGATGGCTTCAGCTGCCATAGTCCTTACCACAGCAGCTTATTTGACTCGACCAGAAAGGTTATGACTTTCTGAGAACGTTACTTCAGAGCTGGAACGGCTATTCCTTGCTGGTGACATCGATCGTAATAGCGAATTGGACGGTGAGGAGTGCATCCCAATGAGAAGCCTCCTGAAGTCGACGTTGAGAGAAAAGAGCGAACTAATGCTTAAAGTATGAGCTCCCACCTGTGAGGTCCAACTAGATCCAATACGCGCACATACCTGCTTTACATACGACAGCAAATGGGGAAACTGAATCTGACACGAAGAGGCGAACTCATTGGCGAAGAAAGAATTCGGAGTCACTTTGGATGACCTGTTCGCCCTTTCCGATCAGGTTATCCACAAATTTTCAGACCGCCATGGCTTTACCGGGAGATTTCAAGTTGCGATTTCAGAACAGAGACCAGATGATAAGCGCCGGTAGCGAGATGACCGACCTGATGATGAATCTGCGATCACGAGCACTGAGCAACGGACAAGCTACACTATCAGTGGGAAAATAAATACTTTGGTCAAGTGGTGGTTGCGGTGGTGTGTGTCGGTGAAGTAATAACATTTGTATAGTAAAAATAATCGTGACTAACAACTAATTCATCTGAATTTTAAACTGGTGGCGGTTCAAAATAAAACTGTGAAGTTACAAGAAGAAAGAAGATTTTGAGAAAAATCTATCGAGCCTCTCTTCGACATATGAGCAAGAACGTTATAAACGAATTTTGGAACCATTTCTATCCTGCTATTTTTTCATTTGGTGCTGGATATCTGGAGTAAACAGGTAGATTGCTAGTAGTTATACCGCAGATTCGATTCCGCAGGTCCGTTGAAAGTACTCGCAACTTCTATATTTTTTAATATGGGCCAAAATTATTTGACGGTGGCTTCATTGTGGCTACCACAATAGAGATTCTCTTTTAAAGGCATTGAGGCGCTTTGGGTAGACTTTTGTGGACCATTACTCACTCTCATTTGGTACGTTGCCTACCAAAGGGCAAAGGTAACAACGGGAGCGCTGGAATGGTCCTCAGTGGTTCCCGTGTGTCGAGCCTCCGCTCCCCCGGAACTCTTTGACTTCTAGTTCTACTAAGATGGTACATTGTGATAACACATCCCTGATACCTGGTGGAGTAAGGATGATACGGTAATTGGGCGCGGGCTATGCTTGGGAGGCTATAGACTACGCTATGGAAATTTAGTTTCCAGTCATTGTATAAGAACAAGCCAAGAAGTCACACAAGAACAGTCTTTACAACTAATGATGGAACTCAAATACGTGGCGCATCTCTTGAGGTTGATCGATACCAGGCGTTATATGTTTCATAACGTGAAGTCAAGGCAGGCCTGTCCTTCATTCTCTGGAGGTCGATCAAACGCTATCAGACTCTTCTGGGAGACAGAGACATTGTCCTGTTCGTTGGTTGATTCTTGAGAAGCACAAGCCAAACTCTACTCATATGCGAATCTGGAAGAAAGTAGAATGCGTGGCGCATCCCATAATGGCATAGATCAACGTTGCTGTGTTTTTTCGGTTTTTATTTATCCCAACTCGATGAGCTTCTCCAAATATTGGTCGAAATGCATTTTTTACGGTCATTAGGCCGATGTCAGACTTTGCGAATCGCGCGATTCGCTACTAGCGATTCGCGCGATTCGCTAGCGTCCGCGGTCGCGTTGCGGTACCAGCCAATTGAGTGATTCACTGGCCGCGACGCGACCGCAGACGCTAGCGAATCGCGCGATTCGCAAAGTCTGACATCGGCCTTACAAGAAGCTGAGATTCTCATACATTAACCGTAATCGCAAAAACTTGGTGTCAATTGGTGAATACTTAGCAGAGAACTTTCGCGCATTCTTTACAACCGATCAGCGATTGATAATCGTCGCAACATTTTGGACATCGGAGGAAAAACGGAGCGAGTCCTATCATTGAAAGCGTTGCAGTCCGCTTTCGTTGGAGGTGTTGAAGAAGGCGGAGATGCTGAAAAATGAAAAAAAAGAGAAACATGGGGATAATACGAAAAAGACAGGTGCCGGCAGAGGGAAAAGATGTAGACGAAGAAGCAGCATATGAGGTAATGGAACAAAGACATTTCCAAAAAATTAGTAACAGTGAGACAAAGCGTTCTTCTCACTGAATAGGTTTCTAATCGATGCTGAAATTGATCAATAACGATAAGGTGCCAAGCTACGGCAATGATTTTTGGAATGCGACACCGCATTTCTCTTCTGATAGAATTCGTAGGAGCTTTTCGAGAGATTTCAGACTACACGGGCGCGGCATAGTAAATGTACAAGTCAGCGTTGTTACCTCAGGAACGAATTTAGTTCCGACTCGGGGACAGGAGAGCGTTGATTAACTTGAGCGAGTTCGAACCAGGAATTTCACCTCCGTGCGG